AGGGGCCCCGCCGCGCCCGCGCCTCCCTCCCTCTCTTCGGAGGAGGCGCACTCGCAGAAGCGCGGCTTGGTGCCCTGCGGTGCAGCCCAGTGGGCCGTGGCCTTCCCCACCCCATCCCCGCCTGCTGGGGGGCCGCCTCCCGGGTCCCCTCTCGCTGCCTGCCCCCCTGTCTGTCTGAAGAGCTGCTCCTGCCTCCGCCCGGGCCTGCTGGGTGGTGTGCTCGTCCGGAGGGACCGCTGAGCTTGGAGAGTTGATCTCTGACCCTCAGCCAGCTCTCCGGGCCTGCCCCTGGCCCCCGCGGGACTCTCCGGAATCCCGTGGGATTCCCTGAGGGGGCAGAGCCTGCCCTCCTGACCGACAGACGGGCTGTGGTCCTGCTGCCTGCCCCGCTCCCTCCTGCCAGGGCCGGAGCTCCACCATCTCCGGGTCGCTGGATCGCCTCGCCAGGACGTTGTCACCGCGGCGCTCGGGAAGCCTCCCGCGTTGCTTGTGCCCGCCTCTTGCCCCTCCAGCAGATACCGGGGTTGCTTCCAGTTGTCTGGAGAAGGCTTATCCTAAGGATAGGTCATCATGCTGTAGAATCATTTATTAAAACCTACAGGTCCATTTTTTTTTTTCTGAGCAGAATAGAAGCCTTCTTTTAATTTGGTTTATTATCACTATGTATAAAAGTGACCTATGCTTCAGAAGTTACTTGGCAGTGTAGGTTTTTGTCACATCCCAAGGGAAATGTTGGTAGTGTATATCCTTGTGACTCATACTCTTCCTGACTTGAACAGGTACCCAAAAATATGAAGCCTTACAGACTGTATCAGTTAGGAGAAAAAATATAGCGATTAAGGTAGGTACTTTAAAAAGCTGTAATCATATTTGGGAAAAAGCCTAGCTCTGGTTACAGCCCTAAAGTTCTTCAGGTGGAGTTGGCCGAAAGTGTGATCTCTTGGTGTCTTTAAGGTTCCTGTATGCCTGTCTGCTGTCCTGTGATTATTTGCTGTGTACCCAGTAAAGCTCCTCTGTCTGAATCGATCAGATTCCTGAAAGGATTGTGTATAACTTTTACTGTAGTCGGAGTAACTTGATCGCGGTGTTTGGTTAGAATACTTCACAAAGGAATGGAGTTGGAATAATCACAGCTTCATGCGTTGATAAATTGTCATCACTTCCATTAACGCATAGAGGGCTATGAGCTGCAGCAGCTGAGGGCTGTGATTCATGGTCTCTGTCGCATACAGCTGCAGTTGTGAAATCCAGCTGGAATTAAGGACTGGAATCTCAAATGTCTGCACTTAGTTTTTCCTGGCTTGTTTTAATGTCCTATGATATCTTCTGTTTTTGACAGTTGATGAGTAGTTTTTTGTTGCTTTTTTTACATATAAGTTTAATAGTAAGCAGGAGCAGTGACTAGAATGTCACTTGGCTAGATTACCCAGTCCGTCAATGTATGACAGGCTATTTTGCCGGACTGTAATAGTAAATTGTCAATGTTTTTCCCCAAAGTACTGTACATCTCTGCATATGTGATAGCAGTGCTATCACATATGGAGTTCACAGGAGCTGCTGTAGAAATACTCATATGGATAAATTATTTGCATGTGAGTCTCTTAATATCCATGAAGTCCTGCAAATGGTAGGGTTAATTTCCTGCCTTTTGCAAGATTTGGGGAAAAAAAAAAGGAAAACAAACACACCCCCCCCCCCCCAAATTTAAATCAGGAGTGAGGCTCTATTGAATCAGTTGCTTGACAGGTAGTTGTTTGATTTCTTTATTTTGAAGATGCAGAATAAATTATGAAGGCAATACAATATTTTTTTTTCCCCCCAGATATTCTGATCGCTATGGCAGCCACAAGAAATGTGATGAGAGCTGTCAGAGTTTTTGAATTTGGTGGCCCTGAAGTGCTTAAACTCCAGTCAGATATCTTAATTCCTGATCCAAAAGAAAATCAGGTATATACGAGTTCTGTGAACTGAAATAATGGTATTGAATGATAATAGGTACACTCAGAACAGAATGAAGAATACAAAACAAAACTTTTCATCTTGAATATGTAGTTTTTCATAAGTATATTCATACTATCTGAGACATTACATTTAATAAATGTGGGCTTTTTGCTGTTACATGGGCTACATATTCCATACAAAGGAGTTCCTGAAAATAGCTTCAGTTCAACACTGAATTTTTGCTGACTCTGTGTAAGAATTTAGTTAAAATGCCATGACACTGTGCTGTGAATTCAAGTTCTAAATTTTTTTAATGATTGCTAAAGAAGCATCTTTTCTTTTAGGTATTAATTAAAGTCCATGCCTGTGGGGTAAATCCTGTTGAGACATATATTCGTTCTGGAAATTATGCTAGAAAACCAGCTTTACCCTATACTCCTGGCTCAGATGTGGCTGGTGTAATAGAATGTGTTGGGGAACATGTGACTACATTCAAGGTATTTATACATTAGGTTTTAATTCATTATTGTTTATTGTATCCTCTCTGTGTGATTGCTATACTGCTGTTCCTGTTTTTATTGCTTATAATCATGTAATCGACTGGCAGGGGGAATCGCTTTCACTGACTGGTAAAAACATGCAGTGAGATCATATTGGCAATCCAGTCTGCAGATTGAACTGTAGGGAAGTCTTTAATACTGTTGACCTCCATGAGTTAAAAGGTCTCAGAAGAGGCATTTCAGTTTTTTTAAAGCGATGATACCAGGTGTACAAAGTTGTGGTTCAGAACTATTTTTATGGCATTGCAGAAATACCTGAAGTGGGATGCTTCCTGCTTGAGGTAGTAATTTCACACAGAACTGAAAAATTTTCTGTAAAGTTTTTTTGGGAAATGGAAATAGCTTTTCTTTTACTGACTTATAACACCCCGTAAATTACATATTTTTTGTTAAAACTGTTCAAGTACTTAATTATGCTAGTCTAGTAATTTTACTGAGATTTTCTCAGGGGGAACGTCTTGGGACAGCAGAAGGCAATTATCAGTTTGCTAAAAGATATCTATGAAATTTATTTAGTTTTAAATCTGTTCTTCCTTTCAAGTCACTAGACTGTTGGTCTCAGACAAACATAAAAATTGTAGTTAAAACTGTGTTGGAATTTCCTGACTTGGAAAGTATTGGTAACTATTGTGGGAGAGATGAGAGATTTGGTTATCTAAAGAGAAGAATCATGTTTATTCATATTTTCTTATCAGTAGTTTGCTGTATCTGCTGTGTGTTCGTTTTGTTTGTTATGGAAATTGTGATGCTTTTTGCTTGAATGAAAGAGAGAAATGAGGAGATCAATATGTGCCACAGACAGACGTCCTGAAAATGCTGAGTAGCCAAGCTCTCATTCATTTGCATACTCATAATACGTGAGAAACAGCTATGCTGATATGCAGCCCTCTGCACAGTAGTTAGTACCCGATGTCTGCAAACCAAACTGACGTAGTCCACATGCTGTATATTTATTGAGATCAACATGCAAGTAGTAGAAAAATCAGAGCTCGGTAACTGTGAATGTAGATGGATACTGATGTTGTTCTGCGAGCAGGCTTGTACAAGGTTGGATGCTGACCTGGACCACAGCAAGCTGGCGTTGCGCTCCATCAGCAGGACTGAAGCGCCTAGGCACACACACATACAGAGTGCTGCCAGGTGCTGCATTTCTTGCATCCCCTACTGAATTGCTGGTTTGAGTATTCCCTGTTGAAGAACAGCAGCGAAGAACAGTAACAGGTTACTGTTACAGTAACAGTAACCCTAGTTACTTTAGGGTATATTAAGAGTATATCTTTTCCACGTTCAAACAAAAATAATTGAGAAATGTTTCTTTTGTGTTTGTAAAAGCTTTTGAGGTTTTGCATTTGGAATCTGTGGATGGAATTCTTTAGTGTTCATGTTCATTAAGGGTAATATTAATGAGACAGTAGGTTTGTGTGTTACAGTGTAGAGCAGGGGTTATAATTATGACACTTAAATCTAAGTATATGAAATTACATGGTTTGTGTTGCATTGATTGTATGTATTAGCATTTATAAAAATCTTCTCTGTGACAAATATAACTGGTTATTTTTAACAGGAGAGCTGTTAGAAATAGCCTAAACTTCTGTGAACTGGTTCTTAATGTCTATTAAGGAAAAACTAAGGGAGATGATTAATTTCGCTATTTTCTTTCCCTCCTTTCTAGAAAGGTGACAGGGTTTTTACCATTGGTACGATCTCTGGAGGATATGCAGATTATGCAGTTGCTGCGGCTAATAGAGTCTTTCCTTTGTCGGATAAATTGGACTTTAAGCAAGGAGCAGCGATTGGAATACCCTACTTCACTGCTTATCGTGCTCTCTTCCAAAAGTAAGGTGCCAAATCTAAGCTTGTGCATTTTGCTTTTTAATATTTAAAATACTGAAGCCCATATTTTCATTGTCTTGTAAAATGGGGGGAGATCAATGAGTAGGAAATGTTTGAAACACTTAAGTTAAATTTGTTATACTGAGGGAATTGTCAGATAATTGCTACCTAGAAGCTAGTGACTATATTTTCCTGTTAAGTATTTCTTCTTAAGAGGACAGACCTGGAAAGGCTTCTTCAATAAGTATCATGTAATAAAATGTGTAACTCTTTTTCAGTGCTCATTAGTATTTTAGCTAGGGAAGAAAAACAGGAACACTTGAATTTCTTAATTAAACGAACAATATGCTGTAGAGCAGACCCACCTCTTTTCTTCAAGAGCCTTTCTGCCAAAGAGACTCTGCATACAGTCCTGTCTGTTGCCATAGGACAGTATACCGAGTAGAAGCCAGATTTCTGTGTCAGCTAGGTGAGAGCTTAGGACTGGAAATCTGGTTTAGTTTGATAGAACAAATAATTAGAACTAGTGTGGTTTATTTTAAGATCTGTAACAGGTGAAGATCTTGAACTGTGGTTCAGTGCCAGACTGTTACTTGCTGCTAGTTGCATGTTGACATAATTGCATATTACTTAAATTCATAAATGATACGGTTTATTTTGCCTCCTTGTTTTCCCAGAGGCTGATTATACCTGTTTAGCCATAACATAAATTGGAAATAATAATGTGTGAAAGATGAGATTTGATGTCAGTATATGCAATCTGATGCTTAATGATTATGTACTGCAATCGTAATGCCAATGTTTTCTGTTTTTCCATTCAGAGGGCGTGCCAAAGCAGGGGAAAGCGTGCTAGTGCATGGTGCAAGTGGGGGAGTAAGTATTTTGAGAAGGCAAGCTATAAGAAATGCTGCTTTCTGTCTGTGGTATGGTTTACGGTCACATTTATATCAGTTAATGATTTAACAAAATGAGGTTTTTATTTCCGACACTTTAGGATACTTGTTTCTTAGAGCAAACCCTGTCATTCCAAATAACTGTGAAACTGCGTGAGTGATTGTGTAAGGCCCCTAATACAGAGGGTCATAT